CCCCCTCCCTCCCTCATCTCCCTTGATAATTTATAAATTATTTTTTTCCATGTCTTACACCAACCGCTGTCTCATTACACCCACTTTCCTGCTGTCCGACCCCCTGGGATGGGTGCCGTACATCAATCATCGTGATCGGGTCCCTCTTCCTCCGAGAATGGCTGTTTTCCGTACATCCAGGTGCTCCTTAGGAAAGCCCCACTGGGTGCCCTTTTCCTTCGAGACCTGTAGAAAGTGGCCGTTGGACTTCATTATCCGACTTCCTGACGATCTGCTGGGGCCGTTGGTTACATGTTGGGCTGCTAAACGCGAGGTCGGCGATTCAAACCCACCAGCTGCTGCAAAGGCGAAAGAGGAGACTTTCTGCGCCCATAAAGATTGACCACTTTGGAAACCCACAGAGGCAGTGCTCCTATTTTCCGCAGCCCCTCTACTTTACCAAGCATGATGTCCTTCTCCAGGGACTGGTCTCTCGACAACACGTCCAGAGCACGTGAGAAGAAGTCTTGCCATCCTTGCCTCTGAGGGAGCCCTCTGGCTGAACTTCTTCCAAGACAGATTTGCCAGGGTGTTGGCAGTCCATGGTACAGTACTTTCAATATTCTTTACCAGCACCACAATTCAAACACATCGATTCTTCCTCATATGGATTCTTTCCATATGAAAAGACACTTGAGGCAAGAGCAAGAATTTACAAGTGGGCACAAAGAAATAGGAAAGTCCTGGGATGGGACACTGAACTACTAGTAGGGGGTAAATCTGGGAAAAGGAGTAAGTGCACTGCCATTGAGGGCATTCTAACTCACGGACAGAGCTTTCCTGGGTGTTTCAGATAATAGCATGGCACCCTTCAAACTCCCGCAGCATCCTGGTCCCTACCCTGCCCTGTCCACCACCAAGATGGAAGTATTCTGGTTTATCAAAGCCCTAAAGTATTGGGTCCAAGTCCAAACGATTATTAATTATGAACACACCTCTCCTGTAAAAATACGGTGAGAGCCGCGCCCCGCCCCCAGTCCTTATACCTATTTAGATGTAAGTCACATATGCGTTTATTTCTGTCCAATACACTCTGTGATGTTGTTGTTGTTACTGGCTGTCCAGTGAGTTTCGATTCGTTGTCACTCTGTGCCCAACCGGATGAGACTCTGCCTGGCCCTGGGCCGTCTTCACAGTCCTTG